GTGACAGAGAAAATACTAGGTGCACTTGAGTTTTTGGGCCGGGGATTTAGCTCAGTGGTTCTGGCGTCTGCCTTGCAAGCTGAGGACCCGGTTTTAAAAAAAAAAAAAAAAAAAGAGCATGCAGGGCTACAGATATAACGCAGTTGCGTTGTGCCTGCCTGGAAAGCACAAGGTCCTGTCTTCAATTCCTGGTACTGAAAAAAAAGGAAAGAAATAGGATGCTGTTTTATTTAAACTTGACTGGGATTGATAGAGATGGGAGTTTTGTAGTTTAAAAGGGAGGCTTAAAGAAGGACTATTTAAGATAATATTTGAGACTTGAATGAGAATAACCTGTGACAAATCAAGGGAAAAAATTCCAGGTAGCAGAAATAACATGCACAGGGCCGGAGATTTAGCTCAGTGGTTCTGCCGCCTGCCCTGCAAGTGTAAGGACCTGAGTTCGATCCCCGGTACCAAAAAAAAAAAAAAAAGATAACATGCACAAAGGCCATGACATATATTCCAGAAATGCACAGAAGATAAGTATGAGTTAAATGAGGACTAGAGAGTAGTAGTACCAGATGTTGGAAAGTTTCAGTGGGGCTCGATCATGTATAGGTCTTGTAGGGACTTTGGGTTGTTTTCCAAGAATGATGCCTATGTAAGCAGGTTTAATTATTTTAAATTTATTTGGATTCTCTTTCTAGGATGGGTAGTATATAAGAATAGAAGCCAAGAGAAAATAAAAACTTGGCTGTTTTCTGGGTGAGAAGTGGTTGCCTATACAGGGGTAGATGGTAACAGCAGAGTGGAGAAAATATGTTTGAGATAAAGATAGGTGGATGTGAAAGTCAGGCACTCAGAAAAGGAGAGGTCAGGAAAGATGATATAAATTTGGAAGCTGATTGATAAAACCGTAAGGATGAATGAAATTATTTAAGAGAACAAGTAGAAAGAGAAGAGAAATGGCTCAGAATAGTATCCTGATACCATTTATAAATTTGGAAGCCAGAATGGTGGCACATGTCTGTAATCTCAGCACTCAGGAGGCTGAAGCAGGAGGATCACCACAAATTTGAAGTCAGCCTGAGCTACAGTTAAAGGCCAGCCTATTCTACATAATGAGACCTGGTCTCAACAAAAAGAGGGGAGGGAACCCTAAATTTGGAAGAGGTGAAATAAAGGAGTGAGATAGGAAACTACAGTAGTGTCATGAATACATACCATAGAGGGAATGTTTCAAGAAAGATGGGTATACTGAATTGTTCAAGGATGCTGGTGACAGGTGGGTTAAGATGAGAGACGAATGTTTACTTTGGATACTGTTTTTGTTACTTTTTTTTTTTTTTTTGTTTTTTTTTGTTTGGTACAGGGGATCGAACTCGGGTCTTTCCGCTTGTGAGGCAGGTGGCAGAACCACTGAGCTAAATCCCCGGCCCTGGATACTGTTTTTATTAGTAACCTTGATAAAAACAGTATTTTGGAGTAAAGATAAAGCCAAATTGAGGTAGATTGAAATGTAACTGAATCAGGCACATCTCAGTTTACATGTTAAAACTACTTTACCTACATATGAAGGAAGACAGATTCAAAATAATAATAACAATTACAGAGAAGGAAAACCTGTCGTTAAGAATTCTTAAAAGACATTGGAGAAAGTGTGGAAAGGATGAATTCGTCGAAGCTCAAGTTTTACTATGAAGGGAAGCACACATAATGGCAGCTGAAGAGAAGGATGAGAGCAGTAAGTGATGGGTTTTTAATTAGGTAGGAGATACTTGTGTGCCAGTAGAAATAATCTAGTGGAAATGACATTGGCATAGAAGAGAGTGAAACTGATTGAAGATATTACACTGTCTTTGAGAAAAACCAAAAGGGAAGGGATCTAGAACAGTGATGGTGAACCTTTTAGAGCTTTCAGTGATAAATAGCCCACTGGGGCACACATGCCATAGATTTGCCACCACTGATCTAGAGCCTTAATGTGAGAATAGCTTTTGATTTTTAAAAAAAATTTTTTTTTTTGGTACCGGGGATCAAACTCGGGTCCTTGTGCTTGCACAGCAGGCGGCAGATCCACTGAGCTAAATCCCCGGCCCGAGAATAGCTTTTAATAGGAGGAGAAATACTTTTCTGTTGAAATGAGGTGAGAAAAAGAAGATGCGAGATGCTCGTTGTATAATAATTTGGGAAGGAGGGAGATAGCTAAAGTTGTCTGGTAGTTTCTAATTTCTCCATGGACTATGAGGTAAAAGCTGAGATGGCTATATAATGAGGGAAATGTAAAGAGTAAATAAAAGATAGGGACTAGTCATCTTGGGAGAGTAGAAAAATGTAATTGCAAAGCATTGACAGTGTACCATAGCTATTTGAAATTTGTAATAAAGTGGAAACTACTACTTTAAAGCTTTTTTCTTGAAAAAAATACTTATTATTCCTGTCTCTTTAAAATTCTATCATTCTAATCTTTTATTAGTAGTTGATGAGTTAGGGGGGGAAAAAAAAGAACCAGGTGTGGCAGCAAATGCCTGTAAACCCAGCACTTGGGAAGCTGAGACAGGAAGATTGCTGTGAATTCAAGGCCAGCCTGGACTACATAGTGAGTTCAAGGCCAGCCTAAACAAGACTGTGTCTCAAAAAACCAACCTCTCCAAAAAATACTCCACAGAATTTTTCTCATTGTTACGATGTTTTTGATAGGATGCTTCATCTTTGGCAGCTGCCAGATCATCTGATGCCACCTGATAAAAGAGTTCAACTTTTTAAAAAGGCAGCCTCGGTTCTTCAGCCCTACATGTGGGTTGGTTTCAGTCTGAGAATATTCTTTCTAGTATTACAATGGTCCTTTATAAATGTATGTTGTTTATCTTTTTAAAAAATATATATCCCACCTATCTTATCCTTGTCTAGCTTTCCTTTGTTCTTTCTCCCCTACTTTCACCTTCCTTATACTTTCACTATTATTTCCTGACCTTTGTTAGCTAGAGGGATAGTTTTCCCATTTTCTTCATTCACTTCTCTCTAGCCTATTATATAGTATATTTCCTTTTCTTGAACTGAGTTTTCCTTGATATTTCTCATAGGACTCCATTTTATTAGCTTGCTTGTGTATATATTTGTCAACTTCTAATTATAATATGAACCTCAGCATAGGGAATAGCTTTGTTATCTCTGTTATCTAAAACCTTCGGGGATAGAAGCATTGTGGTGAGTAAATTAAATAGATGTTCTTTATATTGGTACTTGGTTCTTTTTTCTTCTATTAGGAGTGCCCTTGACTATTGCTCTTTTTCCCTTTCTGTTGCTTGATATTTAGCCCTCTGTTTCAAAGATTGTTTTCCAAGTCTTTTTTAGTTTGCCATATTAAAGACTCTGCCAACATTCTGCCACTTTGGCCTTCATTCTGTGTCAGTCTAGAACTGTGTGTGTTTGTGTGTGTGTGTGTGTTAGATAACCTTTATTGATAATCTACCATAATTTTAATACTGATATTTCTATGAGGCTAACTGCTAATTTCAGTCTTCCCCCCATGAAATAACAGCCTAAGCTAAATAATCAGACTTTCAGAAGTTTTAAAATCTTCTATCCAGTATGGTTGTCTGGTTGGTAGTGGTTGTTTTTTAAATCTTTAGGTGGTATGTATATTCCAGAATATTAAAGAGAAAATTTTTTACTTAAATTTTCACACTTAAATATCTCAAGTCAAGAAATATTTAAAATTAGAACATATTATCTATGCTGTTGACTAAACTTACAATTTTTCATGTTACTATTATTAAAAATATAAAACATGTCTAATTACATATGAGAGCCTTTGTCTTTATGCAGGGATTAAATACATAATGTTTTTTCTATTTCAGAGAAATAAGCAATGGAATAGAAAAAAAAGGAAAGAAAAAATCTGTAGGTCGTCCTCCTGGCCCATATACAAGAAAAATGATACAAAAAACTGCTGAGCCACCTTTGGTAAGAGGATATGTTGATATATGTTCCCGGAGAGGAAACACATGTGAACTTACTAAGAAGCTAATATTTCTTCCTGCTTACTGTAGAACCATGCTTTAACTCAATATTTTTATTTTCCAGGATAAGGAACCAGTTTCTGAGAATCCTGCCTTGGATTTACCTTGTTCTATAGGGTAAATAGAAAATTATTTTCTTCTTTCTTAGAGTTTTTTTTTTAGGGGAAATTAGTGTTTTTAGTTTTTGTAATATAGTTGCTATATCACTTAAGTTCTTTTGTCTCAGGATAACTGAGGGAACTGCACATTCATCCAATACCTCGGATATGGATTTCACGGGTGCTTCCAGTACAAAAGAAACTACCTCGTCTAGTATTTCCAGGCATTATGGGTAGGTCTTTTATGTTCTTCTTCCTTACTAATTTTCTTTTAGATTGTGTTTCATGGCAAAGTAATGATTGAATAATTTTTTACCCCCTGACATTGATACAAATGTGCTTTTTGAGAAAAAGTCCATGTGGAGATTCACTAAGTTTTTAATATTAATCTGAATATTTTTTCAGCTCAGAGTACAAACATTAAATTTTTCAAATTTGTTAGGAAATTTTATAGTCCTCTATAGAGGACTTTTCTGATAGGCTGTTTAATGTTTGTATTATACAAGTATACCTTGGTTGAGGAAATTTTTGGTTTTTAAGAATCAAGCACAGGGCTGGAGATTTAGCTCAGTGGTTTCACCGCCTGCTGCACAAGTGCAAGGACCCGAGTTCAATCCCTGGTACCAAAAAAAAGAATCAAGCACAAAGGGACTGGGGATTTAGCTCAGTGGTTCTGCTGCTGGCCTTGAAAGCGCAAGGTCCCAAGTTCAATCCCCAGTACCAAAAAAAGAATCAAGCACATACATGTTCTTATCAGTAAAAAGATTTTAAACTCAGAATTTTCCTTTTCAAAATTAAAAGTAGCATACTGTGGAGCGTAAGGCTGGAGGATCATGATTTCAAGGCTAGCCTGGGCAACTTACTGAGATTCTGTCTCAATAGTAACAAAAATAGTAGCAAAGTCTCTTTTAGTATTTCTTGTAATCCAACTTGTCAGAAAGACATTTTTCCTAAAGCACATCATATCAGATATAAAAAGTTCATTCTAATTGGAATAGAATCATTAGTTTTTAAGTTTGAAATGTTCTTTTAAATTCTTAATCATAATTCAAAAACTGGTCTTGTAAATTATTAAAATTCTAAGTTAAAGGGTTGAAGTATGACCTGTTCATTAATAAATAATAGTAATGTGGGATATTTTTTGCTTTTTATTTTGTATTCCACAAAGCTACTTAAGTACATTATCTGATGTCATTTTTTTTTGGTACTGGGGATCGAACTCCGGACCTTGCGCTCTGCCAGGCAGGTGGCAGAACCACTGAGCTAAATTCCTGGCCCTGTCTGATGTAATTTTTAAAACAAAAAAATTTTTTTTGAGACATGTCCTGTTATTCCCATGTTTTAGATGAAGAATCTGAGACTTACATGAAGAGGGTATTTTATGACAAGCCCAGTATTATATGTTTAGCAAGCATAACAGCACTGAATTATTCCCTCAGGAATTAGATTTTATTGAATTTATCTGTTAGGTTCTTTCTTTGCTATAAGATTCTTTTGTTATAAGATCATAAAATCCTTGTGTTTCTGTGGTGCAAAAGACCTAAAGATGATCTTTTTCAAGTGAACAGAGGCTAAGAAATTTCAGTTTGGCCAAGTAACAGAGTCAGAGGTAGACCTAGGGCACCTTAACTTCTAATTTGTGCTTATTATACTACGTCACTTCACTATGCCTAGAACTGGTAATAAGAGAACCTTTATTTTAGTATTTAAGCACATGGAACAGTGTCTTGTTGGTGCTTTTTCTGTATTTGGGTCAGTGAATGAATGAATGAATGAATGGTCTCTGTTTTCAATGAGATAGTTGATAATATCAGATATAGGGCTTCTTGGTAAGAATTTGCCTATTTGGCCTCCTAGTTAAAAATGTGCTCTGATTGCTTAAAACTTAATAGTACATAGTTAAGGAAGAAAAAACTACCAAGGTCACCCCTAAGGTGATAGAATCTAAAGTAAATGAAAACAAGTGATAGTTGATTTTTATAGCATTTACATTTGTGTTGGTTTGGTTGGTTTTTATGTTATCAAGGGTATGTAATTAGAGTGACCCAAAAATAAACAGTATATATTATATGGGCAAAGGATGCTTTAAAAATTTAGTCGACAGTTTTGGCCTTTTCTGTTTCATAGCTTATCTGACTCCAGAAAAAGAACTCGCACAGGTAGATCTTGGCCTGCTGCAATACCACATTTGCGTAGAAGAAGAGGTCGTCTTCCGAGAAGAGCACTCCAGACTCAGAACTCAGAAATTGTAAAAGATGATGAAGGCCAAGAAGATTATCAATTTGAAGAACTCAACACAGAGATCCTGAATAACTTAGCAGATCAAGAGTTACAGCTCAATCATCTAAAAAACTCCATTACTAGTTATTTTGGTGCTGCAGGTAGAATAGCATGTGGCGAAAAGTACCGAGTTTTGGCTCGTCGGGTGACACTTGATGGAAAGGTGCAGTATCTTGTGGAATGGGAAGGAGCAACTGCATCCTGACTGTAGGAGTGAATATTATGTTCACTGCACTCATTTTCTGTAGGTACAGTTCAAAGCCCTAAAGGAGTCTGGCTTTTACTATCTTTCTTAAAAAACAACATCATCAAAAACAAAAAAAATAGTCACAAAAGGAGATGATACTAGCCTTAACATGTACTTATCAATGTTATGGATATTGTCAAAAAAAGATATCTTTTAAAAATCAGAACAGAGACTTAATTTTTTAAATCATAAGATTTGTAGAATGTTTCTAGGATAGGATATTAAAAAATGAATCAAACTCATGCATGGTGTTAGATAATTTTTCTAATTATTCCATTGAGTCAGTTTTTGTGATTAGTGGTTATCAGAGCAAACAGATCGTGTAGATAGCACAAGTATTTGGAGAAACATTGTCTGTTTTGTTATACCAAAATGTTGGGAAAAAATTTATTTCAATACCTTTTAGATTTCATAAAGTGCAGTGTATATAATGCCTACCGAAAGACTGTAAAATATTGAAATTTTCTTTCAAGCAAAGTGTAAAAAATATATTGAGCCTGTAAATTGCTCTGTGACTAGACTTCATTGTCGTCTTAATATATTCTTTGCATGTACATATATATACACATTTGTGTATATATATGTGTGTGATTATGTGACCTATGCAATACAAATTATGGGAATGGGCAGCTTTGGAGTATATATCCCATAATTCTTTTTTCAGGAATAGTTGCAGTATTTACACAGCAGCATTTCTTCTCAGGCTTTTATTGGGTGCTGTTGCTTGCTATGTATGAAGAGAAATGTGTCAGACAAGTTTAGTGTGTACCGAAGAAGGGTGTGAACAACAGTGTTCATGGGCTTTTAGAATGCTTTTCACTTTCAGTCCTTGTAACTCAGCTGTTCAATACCTAAAACAAATTCAAATAATATCAACATTATTTCCTACCAGAAGTAACATTTTCAAGTTTTCATGGCACATTTGATTGTAAATGTCTCTCGCTTAACAGTAAGTCTGTGGGAATCAGGTGAAGATTCCTGAAATGTCTGTAGTTACTGTTAGTCATGTTTGAATAAGTGTAGTATGAACAAAGTATTTTATTGCACAGGGTTAACAAACAGTATGTTGCTAGTTGAGGCTTCTGCTGTTTTATTACAACATTACCTCTTGTTTTTATAAAATGTACCAAGATTTAAATTGATAACTTTATTTTACATGTTTTAAAAAAAACCACTTTCTTTTATCACCAGTGTTAGAGTTGTCTTTTGTTTCTTTTTGTTTTGTTCTGTTTTGTTTCTTAGCCAAAGAGTAAACAGAAGAATATTCTTATTTTGGTGGCTGTACATTTTACTTTTAAAAGTGATTGGTGGATTTTAGACAAGAAATTGGAGAATTTGCTGCCAAAATGCAAAATATGTGAAGTGTAGTGATGACAGAGTGGTAAAAATGTGGGTTAGTACTTATTTATTCCATTAATTGATTATTTGACTGTTTATAAAGAAAGTTGCTTTATTTCTTTAAACATCTTCAAAAGATGACTTTTTCTTATCACATTATAGCCAAAAGAAGCAGAGGACTTCATTGTCTTGCATTTGGTTCCTGGTTTACCAGGTATAAATGAGCTTTACAAAAGTGCAAATCAAAAACTGTCACTTCTGTTTACCTCCACCAAAACTTGATTTTCCCCTAGCTATTAATTTAAAGTTGCCTTTCTTGCAGCTGCAATATTTTGAATAACACACAGAGTTTGTGTTGATTTTTTGAATGTTTGTTTATATCTAGGGGTAATGGAAAATGTAAATCCCGTGTACACTCCACCTGTATCATATTATTTCATTTTCCCCAAAGTCCTTTAATTCTAACTGAACACCAGCAGTATTTTTAGTAACTCTTTATTTACCATACTTGGAATATGATTTACCAAGCTAAACTGTCTTTAGACGTAATTATTGTGAATGTCTGTTTTATTTTATCACGGTGGTTCACATGGCTCTGATGTTCAGTTTGTATTTTTGGAATTGCTTTACTTAGAATTAAAACAGACCAACATTAAATGTGTGTATTTTTTAAAGAGCTAATGAGTTTTGCTTCTGTATTTGCTTGAAAATACACACTAGTGCAGTAGTTGACTGCTTTTATTTAGCTAGGGAGGTAAGGATTTTCTGATTCTACTGCTGGTAGGTTTTCTTGAGTTTTCTTTATAAAACTTTGCTTCCTTTTCCTCTTACCCCCATGTAATAATTAGTATTTGCTATGTGTTTATCTTAAATGATCTTTTAAAAATAAGATATATTTGGGCTGGGGACTTAGCTCAGTGGTGCTGCTGCCTGCCTCACAAGTGCAAGGTCCTGAGTTTGATCCCAGTACTGAAAAAAAAAAACATTTATCAAGCTTGCACTTTATATTTGAAACACGGTGTCTCTGTCTACCCTTTAAAAAAATTTAGACTTCCCAATTGTTTCTTTTCTTATTTAAATAGAAGGTATCTGGGTTCACACAAAAGAATGTCCTTCCACCCCTAAAATACTTTGCTCCTAGCTCACAGAAAGAAAAGATGTAAAATTAATACATCTTACTAATTTTAATACCATTTTAATTCAAAACAAATACATTTTTATAAATACTCTGATAGTAAATGATGAACATAGTTTCTTAGGCCCTTAGATGACTAAACTAGAGCACAATATGAGTTATTAGAATTATTGTGAATGTCTTAAATCTTCAGTTCTAATGTACTTGATAAGGTACCTGATAAAGTCAGGTTTTGCTAGGTATATTTTGTCAATAACTAGTATTCACTGATGAAAGGTTGAAGGGTATCCCATCCCAATTTTGGAATATTTTTTGCAATTATGTTCTGGTATTCATATTTCATTTCTATCATGTATATATTTGGAAGATTTATCAGTGTTGAATATAGAATGCTTGTATTATGGGCTACTTTTTCGAACTACTAGATACTCTTAAATTTTGGATGGAACATAATCTAACTTAGCTATTTTTAACAGACTGTTTTGTAATATGTTCTGAAGTTCTTTGAGAATGTGGGGGTAGATGTCCGTGCAAAATCATGTGAGGAAGTGTTTCTTAATTACATCTGAACAAAGCATTCCCAGTCTTCCTTTTAGTTTAGTTTCCTCTGTGGCAGTTGATCAGTCATGCTCTTTCCTCAGGAGTATAAAAACTTGACAGTTAAATATAAAGTTAACTATTATCATGGATGATTTTCCAGTTTGCCATAGGAATCCACGTATATCTGTTTTGATACAGATTTAGAGGTAGAAGGGAGATATGTGTAAGCAAACTGGTTGACTCTGTAAAAGAAGTAGATTGGAACCCATATGATACTATAGTTGTAATTCTTAAGTTGAAATATCAAAATGTCTTGGATAGCTAAATCAAGATACTCTGGTAGATTTGTATTCAACATTAGAATACGATTAAAAGATTAGCCTGCTCACTTTTTTTTCCTTCTCCCCTCATCTCTACGCAACAAAATCCTGCTTTCTTTAGCTTCATTTACATTTTTTCTCATTGGAGATAATTATAAAAACTGGATACTCAGTAACTCATTTGTCCAGTATCTTCAAGGAATATAATTTGTCATTCAAGAAATTTTTCACTGGATTTGAACAAGCAAATAAGACTTTCAAAGATGATATTAAATGTATTTTTAGATAAAGCAGAAAATTTATTCTGTTCAAAATCACTAGTCTACTTCTGCAACTTGTATTTACTGAAAAGTGTTCAGTCTTTTCTCCCCCCACCTCTCACCCTATGACATACATTCCCAGTGAGAGTGACATCCCTAAATGGGCAAAAATTGGTTTATGGGGGCGGGGGCACAAAACCTTAGATAATGGTTTCTGACCCTTCCGAACAATAATCTTCATTTCTTAGTATTTAATTACTCTTATGTTTTCTTAGATAGCACATGAGCAGTATTGACTTTGAGTACATAGATAAGTCACAAAATAATGTGTATTTTTTACATATAGATCATCTGTACATGTGTACTGTGAAACTATAGCAGATGGGCATGTTTTGATGGACTGATTGCTTCATTTTGAAAACATTTTGAGAGTCTGCACATGCCAGTTGCCATTTCTTGGAGATGTTTGATCTTTATCCCGGTCTTATGTATGACCTGGGCAGTTAAATAAGTCTGTTTTGTATTTTGTTGTTTTATTCTACCAAGGTCATTTAGCCCATCATTATTATGTCATTTGCTAATAGGAAAAACTGACAATATGTAAAAGTAAAAAAGGGGGGTAGTGGTACCAAGATTGAATACAAGGCCTCATGAGTGCTTAGTACACACACTACCATTGAACTATATCTCTAGGCCAAAAGTAATATTTTCATAGCAAGCACAATTTAAAAGTAAGCTCACAAAAGTTTTCTAAAGAAATTAAGAGTTCCAGAAGTTTTACTTTTGCTGGAAAAGTAGCATTTTTAAATGAATTTTAAAAATTTGTAATATATAGCTCTTAGTCACTAAATTGCATATATAATTTGATACGTTACAGTTTTTATAAATAAATTGCTTTAAAATTACTCAAAATGTTATTGAAATTTAAGTTAAATAGGATAATAGCATCCAGGATCAGTGTTGTATTCTTTATGTTAAACTGTAAATATTGTCATTGTAACCAGTAGTTAACATTTAAATAATTCCTTTAGGGCCAGGATTAGGCCGCCTGCCTCACAAGCGTAAGGACCCGAGTTCGATCTCTGGTACCAAAAAATAAATAAATAATTTCTTTAATACTATCTGTGGAATGCAAGGTAATTTTTCCTATGCAGAAGTTTAAGGTTTTTTAACAAGGGTCCTCTTTAAAAATATGGTAAGCCTTAAATAGCCTTGAAAATAAACATATTTGAGGAATGTGGAAAGTTATAGAAATGAAAGTTTTTGGAAAAAAAATTGGAGAAGGAAAGCCTATTGGCTTATTTACCACTTAGTGGGAGGCTCAGTTTGTTTTCTATATTATTTCAGTATCCAAGGGTATATTCTGTAACAGAACCATTGTGAAAAAGTTATTTTAATTATAATATTTCAGAACCTTATACTTAGACTTTTCTGTTATTTTTAACTCTGGATATAAATTGTCCAGTGAAGAATTATTTCAGTAGAGACCTATTTTTGATACCTCTTTATAAAAATACCAGAAACACTAAAAATGCCTCTTATTGAAGGGTTTTCTAGAATATATTAAATATTTAATGCTCTTATAAACACCATTTTTGGCATGTTAACCTTTCTTGTCCGCTGTGAGATTATGTATATTTATTATTATGTGTTGCTGTAATAATGGTGGTACAGGGATCTGGATGTAGTTAGGGGACTCTTATCCTGATTTTCTTTATGACCTAGACGAGGTGGTACTTTTTTATATGTCTTTTTCCTGTATCTTCTATGGGAGTCCTCTTTTTAATCCATTTTATTCACAGTGCATTAAGTGGCTTTTCTCCCTTTCTTTTCCACCTAGTTGCTAAACATTATATGTGATAGAGTGGAAAGGATTTAAGCAAGGTTTTCTGGGACAACCAGGTAATCATGTGAATAAAAGTTTGGACCTTATTTTACTCACAATTTTGCTTTCTTTTTAGACTGAAGATTGAGTTATTTACTCCAAAGAAAGAGTAAATGGCATCTTATATTTATTACTCAAGAGATTCAATTTTTAGTTTGATTTTCTTGCTTCCTACCTTATGAAATAGAAGTCATTCAGGTATTTAGAAGTATCACAGCTGGAGAATTGTGATACAACTATAATGTAGAGTGTAGAATGAAGTTGATTATCTTGTGGCTCCCTAATCCATCTTCATCGTTCCTTCAGGTATCAAAAATTGCCTGCCCAGTATAGTATATCCTGTGGTTTTCTATTAACTGGCAGGTCAATTAAGACTATTCTAGAGTAGGTTCTTGTATGTATTCTGTGTTATGAGAAAGAAGAAATAGAAGTATGGACATTAAGTATAGTACCGTTTTAAAGAATAGCAAATTGATATGGCATGATTTCATTACATGTTCATATATCATAGGCATAAGAGAAAACCAATGAAATAGAGAAGAGATGGTATTTTAGCAGTAATTTATTAATTATCTGCTTTATAGGTTAAATGAATTTAAGAATTGATATTATAAATTGATTAATTTTTAGTATTTTAAGTGCCAAAATTGTGTGCAGTTAAACTTAAAATGTCAGGTTTCAGAAGATCATAATTAATTTCTGATATCATACTTTTATCAAATTCAAGTAGTAATGTTTATCAAATTAATTTGCTTTGTTTCCTGACTTTGGCTAAATAAGTCAGTAAAGTGTATAAAATTAAGTCACGTACAATGACTGTTATCTTTATATAGAAGTTTCAGTTGGATCAGTTTCATGATTTTTTGGAAATTATTTTTTTTTTTGGTATTAGGGATTGGACTTGGGACCTTGCGCTTGCAAGGCAGGCGCCAGAACCACTGAGGTAAATCCCTGGCCCTGGAAATTATTTTTAAATAAAATACTTTTAATTACTTGAAAACAGTATTTAGACTAAAATATTTTTAAATGCTGGGTGTGGTGGCCCATGCTTTTAATTCCAGCACTCTGGGAGACAGAAATATCACAAATTCGAGCTCAGCCTGGGCAATTTAGTGGGTTAGTGACTTAGCAAGGCTCCTTTTCAAAATCAAAAAAGAACCGGGGTTGAAGCTCAGTGAAAAGGTTCTGGTCTCAATCCCCTGTTCGGTGTGGGGAAAAATAATTTA